AATTGTCGACAACGACTTCACGCAGAGCTGTGACCGTCTCTCTCCGCTTACTTCTGTAGAAAGCGCAGCCCTGTTCCCTAGATTATGAAAGGGATTTCTCACCTTGTCACTTCAAGAACAACTCAGCTTTCCATACAAACAATCTCCTTGATTCACAAAAGGCGCTATCGCATGATACGGGGGCATTGTGGTAGCAGTGCATTGGAAATCGCGTAACTGTCCTTATTGTGGAACGGATTAAGCCTCAGGCCGCGAGGAGAGACTCCAAAATGTGGCTGGGGGGGTTGCCATAGTTCCTGTTGCTGCCCGAACAATTCTGCCCCACTAGGTGTATCTTGGATGCCCCGTATACTGCTTGAAGTAGCTCTCTCACAAATACTTGATGTACAATCCATGACCGACTTTTCAGTTAATCTCTGCATTGTTTGGATGCGTATATGATTTGTTTTTTTGTTGCATCTCCGAGATTGATACAGTATTACTTTGCTGACGTTTCGCAAAATCGGAAAGGGGTGCCTCCTGCAGCTCCGTCATCGCTCAAGGCTCCGACGAAGGCGATTTTGCCGAAACGTCAGCAAATAAATACTGTATCAATCTCGGAGGCTACAACAAAAACAAGAGAGGTCACGTCACGCCCTATGTTCTTTTCTAATTAAATGGAGTAACTCCCGGAGCTTCCACAACTTCTCGTCACACAGGCGGGTCTTTCGGAATTTCTGAAACTTCTTTTTGTTGTGCCGTTGGAATGTGCAGTTCTTTTTTTTTCGAGAAAATTTCCGATATTTCTAATCAGCGCTCCTCTTTGTTAATTATAAAGTGTTGCAAACTTAAACATTTCCAGGATGCTGTCTTTGGTTCAGCGCTCGACACTCGCAGGCCTTTGCCGTCATCCAGCATCGCCGTTTCGCCGAGAATGTTCTCTGATAAGATCACTGATGCATACAAAGCCACAAGGGTACGATTATCATCTGTTTGGAAGGGTTAGAAATGAGGCAGTAAGGTGGTCATTTGTGCTTGTAGCGCGCTTTCATCACGGTGGTTGTATAGATGGCTAAGCTGCTGCGAAGATATGAATCCGAATCTTGCGATCGACGAGAAAACGCCTAAGGGCCCACAAAGAAAATGCGCGGGTGATCTTGACTCCATCTATTCGAATACGAAGTCATCGCTCCTTTGGCCTTCGGCTTCACGGAACTTGTCAATCGTTGCGGCACCTCGCATCACTGGCGAGGGTCAATCGTCCGTTGGAAAAGTCCAAGCATTGGCTAACTCTAGGTGTGAGAAGTAATGCCGAGGATGTGAAGTCGGCAGGCGAGTTGCAATGCGCGGCGCGTGAGAGCGGTCACGTCGGCGTCCGAACGTCGGTCGAACTGTTGGGTCAACGAAATGGTTGCCTAATCATTGCACCCATTCTCCGACCAAGATGATGAGATGCGCTGCAAATTATTGACCCTCAAGCTACGTTTAGCAAAACGATGACGGTTTTTTGCCGGCCAAAACACTAGTCGGGGCAACCTCGTTTTTTAGCAGGATGGGTACCAATGCATGCTGCTTGGAAAATCGTCTAGTTATTCAGAAACAAACCGTGGAAAACAAAAAATGGCTATGGGGCATTTAAAGTGTTTCACTGACTTTCATCCGGCATTCGGTAACCGAGATATAGGCAAGGGCTGTCATCTGCCTTCGAATCCGTGGAATGTGTGAGATAATCACGGCTTGGGTATTGCTTGAATGATTATTCCGATTTACAACCATACCATTTAGTTCATGTGATGTTCTTTTGTAGCCTGCATCAGATGCGAACGAGGTGAACGGCCACACCACAAAAGCTTCATTCGATCAGCAAATGAAAGCGCAGAGATTTCCGTGGTGCAGATGCACGTTGGTTTTATTTCGTGTATTATTTTTTAATTGGTCAGAGAATTTCATTTTGGGCAGTGAAAAATAGATTACCAAGGATTTGGCTGTCAAGAATGCGGGGCTTCCACGACCAAAACTTCGTGGCTTCGAGTTCCGTCGGCGAAAGTTTTGTCCCCCAGCATGGTTTTCTCCGTGTAAACATTCGCAGATGGCAAACTGCGGCCAGGAAAACAGCAGTTTACAAACAAAAACTAGTGGGGATTCTTCGGCCATAGTTGGACTTCGGTGGGAGGAACAGATTTAAACAACTATTTGTTGCGCTAAGCGGTCACCGTGTTTGTTATTTACCAAGGGGAAGCGGGAGGGAGGGAGGGTGACAGCAGGGTTTGACTCCTAACGTTAACCACGTTTCAATTTTTTTACGAACTCCACACCTATTCTTCGATAGGCGACTATGCGCCTACCCTTCGGCTTGGAGTCCCCGCATACGTCCGTTAACACCCCTACAATACCTCGGAATCAGGGGAGAAGTAATGGTTTGGATTTTTTGTCAAAAGTTGCTTTAAACCTGCGAAAACGGCCCGGCCGCAACCAGGACCTCGTCAATTCCCGAAACTACGATCCCTTCCAATCTTTTGACCTTTGTCAGCCCCAGTGATGATCCCTGCGGGCAAAACAATCCCCGTCTGGATCGCCCGGACGGAGTAATGGTTATTCAGAAGGAGAGGAAGTAGTATGAATGATTTGTATATAAAATGTGGACTGATGCAGGAGGGATCGGACTCGTACGTGACCCCATTTTAGTGATGACAATGGCAATTAGAATCGTATCGGAAGACAGTAAGGAGAGAGAAAGAAGGTTGTAGATTTACCAAGAAAATTGCTCTATTCCACATATTGTACACTTCTGGCTCTGTTGTGTTTAGATGTCTCAAATTGGGCGTTAGCTACTACTCTACGAACTGAAGGTTTACTTGAAGAATATGTGGGATTCGAGGCGAAAGAGAGGGCTAACATAACAGCGATTATGCAAAAACCTGAGCTCTGATCGAGTTCTATGTTTTTTTGTCAAAATTTTATTTCGATTCACGGGTGAATTCCGAACAAACTGCAGGAATGCATGTGCACTTCTGATCATAAGAGTGGTATCGATATAACATAAGCGCGTAAATCCTGAATACGTGACTACGTAAGTGAATACTTGTATTAATATTTTATTGCAAATTTCTCTAAATGAAAGGTAAACCCGCACCCATTCGTGAAAGACACCGTCAGAGAAAAAGCAGCAGCCTGGATTCAATGAGCTTACACAGTAGGTTTGTACAATCGCATGTCCCATTTACATGAAGGAAAAAAGGAGAAATAAACAAAACAGAGAAAGGACAGTAACAGAAGAATACACGATTAATAAGTGGTAGAGAATTCAAACGGTGAGGCTAACCAGAGTTGGGCAACGATGAGGATAGCAAGAGTAGACAGGACACAAACGAAGAGCAACAACGAAACTAATGGGAAGAGAACAATGCAGCACTTTAGTTAATCACACTAACCATATAAGAGATCACGTGACCACGTCAAGGGGAATGCCTAAGTTACTCGTGAAAAACTCAGTCCAGCGCCTTAAACAAACAAGCCACGTGACAATAGGCAAACTCAATCTACAATGGCAGGATCTACTAAGACTTCTACTCGTCGCGTTTCTTTAGTACTCTACTCTTTTTATCTAAATTCTGCCTAGTTTGTGTATATCTCGCCAGCCGCGAAGTAGGGCAACAACCATATTGGATGAATAGGACATAGACCTTAACTAGGACGAGGATTGTTCTACCGCAACAGCTAATCCTTAATTGATGGCCTTCAGGTCTTTTGAGAACGACTATTAGTTTGGGGTAAACAGCGGAAATCCGTGATCATGGAATGATCCTTTAGGTTCATGAAGGCTTTCGAGGCATTTCAAGCTGTTTGAGTGGTAGATTTTAATGATGAACTCGGACTTAGCGAAATTCGCGAGGAATGAGAGAGCTTAAACGCTCTAAACGAAAAATACTTTCAAACGAAACAAGCAGACTCTCGTTGCTAGTAGACATGGGTAGGGGCGGACACAGGGCGGAGGCGAAGCGCAGAAAAGGTTTAGAACCCTAGTGCGCTACCGCTACCTCACCCTTGACCACAAAACGACCACATTTCCCGTCCTTCGGCCGCTAGCGACTGCATGCACTAGTAAATACGCTCTCTTTCCGAAAACAGGATGCGCATCGAATGCAGACCACACACCACAAGTGACGACGGCCTCCAAGTAAATCTGGTAACTAGTGGTTCATAGTGATAGCTGATAGTTGGTAAATGATAGTTGTAATTAGTGACAACTGATAGAATACAACTGCAACAGGCTAATCATTTCATTGGCAGAAACATTTACATTTTGTGGAGGCCGTCGTCACTTGTGGTGTGTGGTCTGCACTCGACGCGCACCTGGTTTTCGGAAACAGAGGTCCTTTCACATATGCTGCACACATTATCGTGATCCTATGCCTTAAGAATTTAGAAGGGTGCTGTACAGGGTTAAAGTGTGTAAATTCGCGTAAAATATTTTAGAACCGGAACGCTGAATCGCATGTACGATCGCATGCGTATTCTGCTCATATCGGTTGCTGTTGCGTGGTTCTTCGCCCTGTTCTACGCCTCCCACCGCTCGAATGTCAACAGAGTGGCTCGCGATCGTGAGGCAGGAGTCGTCGTGAAAGGAATGTGATCTGCCCCATCTCTTCGCACAAAATTCACCATTGTGGTCTTTTTTTCAGTAAAAATAATAATTCAGCTGATATTGTATACAGTTGGCTTCATCTTTGTGATCTTGAGAATCCTTAAAAATTTCAATTGTGGCAGTGGTGGTACAGATGGCAGTTCATTTTAATTTATATCGAACATTTAAAAACGATGTCTGACCGTATCCAATGTAGGTACAAGTTCTTTCGACGATGCTTCTACCGTTCGTGCCGTTTCCCGACAGACCTGTACTGTGCATGTGTTTTGTCCCTTTTCTGACAACTTTCCGCACAATTTCTATCTTAGGCCTATCTAAGAGCAATATTTATTCGGTCATATTCTTTTGGTGCGATATTTATTTGATTTGGACAACAATGGCGGTGTGTTCGATTGTGTACATATTCACAGGTATTAAATCTTAGCTACCGTTGAACATTGTGCCATTTATTTATCGTATTGAGAGGTTTGTAACCCCTCTTATTTGATGCGCTTGCTAGAATACTTTCATTTCAATCCTTGCTTTATAGCTAGCTCAACCAAGAAATCTTCCCAACATGGGCATCTTCCGAAAAGTCTTCATGAGCGCCGCTGGTATCCGTGAAGAGAACCAGGTACTGTATTTCTAAGGCAGCAGTTTACTGAAATCGATTCCATCATTTTTTAGGAACATCATCAGGTGAAGCGAGAACATCTGACGCCCGAACAAGTGAAGCAGACTATGGACACTAGCGGCCGACTCAGTGGTGTGAGCCCTTAATAATGATTGGAAGGCATGCCCCAGGATCACATTGGTGTGGCTCTTGCACACGAATGTGAATGTATTGGTGCGAAATGGGCCGGCAGTAAAGAAAAAAGGAAAAGAATCCGTCGAAAACGCTTAGGTTAAGGGCTCACTCACCTTCCAATCGGCTGTGCTAAGGCAATGAGAGACTAAGCGCGGAGAGGAGAGTATGAGGCGAGAGAGCGCAACAGATGAGAGGGCCAGACAACAGCCTGATAAAAAAATTGCAGCTGCTGCAGCTTACTTTGCAAGGCCCTAGCGCTCTTGTCGGGTGATTTCCGTGCACGGGAATGCCACACTGTGATTGTCCTCTAAGGTTCTACCTTCCGTTCAAACGGCTTCTGCCTAGGTTGTGCCTTCAATTTGGACATCGAAAAATAGATCGTTCCCGGTTTGCCTTGACTTTATCTTTCAAAGGTACTTTCAGCAATCAGTCAAAGCAGTCCATCCTGTTTACAAGGTTACTGACAAGGGAGGTCTTTCAGGGCAAGGTGCGCTTTTTCAAAACGGTTTTGTGCATATTGTAGGGACGCATGTAGGGAACGCAAAACCATGTTTCATTTTCGCTGAACGGTTATAGCAGTACCAAAAAAGAAGCATAAGGTACTGTTAAGGGTTCGATCCCCCGTGGCGACTAAATTTTGCATTTGGGTTGGCGCCTACGGTTTGGTGCCAAATCGCGCTAAATATCAAAATCAGATGTCAAATTCATCGTCAGGACCATTTTGAAGCCAACAAGTGGCCGCCAACCTTGATTGCAAAATTTAGTCGCCGCGGGGGATTGAACCATCAAGAGTATTATTCACCACTTTTTTTCGAACCTACTTAAACGTTCAGCGAAAACGAAAGCATGATTTTTAATGGTCCATCCATGCGTCCTACAACATTGTGCTCAACGTTTTCCAAACAGCGCATCTTGATCTGAAATACTCTCAATGTGAGCCGCACCAAACGCCAGTAGGTAGTGCCACTATCCACTGGAAGTTATACGAATGAGGGAGATGGGCTGGTGACTTTCATATACAAAACTCATGCAACTAGGCACGTCCACCATGCAAATGCGCTGTGCCTGCTGAGACGACAAGGCCTCAGCCTCCTATGTCACCTTGCCCTCGTTAAGTTGTTCGAGAGAATTAAAAGAGAAACTACAGCGGTCAATGAGACGCAGACACCCCGCCGTGTACACCAATGCATTGTGAATAACAGCTGCAGCCGGCTACAGCACAAGTGACAAGGCTCAAGCTACTTTGCCACCCCATTCTCATTAAGAGAGGATTCCACGATAAGGTCTGCGGTCGAATGAAGGGAAATCATGCAAGCCAGGAAAACAGGCGGGCGGGACCCCCTAAAGGTGCACTTCGCCGACGAGCACTTCGCGGTAAACAATATGACCTCGGCAGTCTAGCATGGCCGTCCTCGCGCCGCTGGCGCCGCTGTCCGCCCGCCTCCCCCTCGCCCTGACCGTTTGGCTTCAGCCGACCAGCTGAGAGAGCTTTGTCAATTCAATAAGCGGTTAAAAGGAACTCACTACTATGCTTTTAGGTTGTTCTCCTTGAGTTTCCGATCAGTGGGCCGTCTTTTCATCGTGAACTCTCCCTTTAAGCTACATATTTTATGTAGAAAAGTGCAGGAAAAACGGCTTCAGTTAACGATTAGATAAGGATTTTCCTTGTCAGGGGACGACTTCCTGACTTAATTTTGTTCTCAGATCCCAGCCATTCCGATCGATATTGGCTTCAATAGTGGGAAGGACACGCAAGGGAAGAAGAAGAGTGGTGTCATTTCCCAAGTGACCAGCAATCCTGCAGTCGTTGTGGGAATGGGTCTCACTTGCCTCGCATTGCTTGGCATGTTCAGGTAAGTTGACACCCTCGTTCTTGTCTTCTGATATTCTCGCCGTAATTTACCAATTTATCTCCATTTCTTTCAGGTCTTCCTTCATTGGTGATAAGATGGGCGCACAGAAGTTTATGCGCTACAGAATTCTGGCCCAGTTCTTTCACCGTGACAACGCTAGTCGCAGGAGTTACCATTTTTGGTGCCACCTATGAAGACGAGAAAATCAAGAGCAAAGTGGCCTCGCCTGTAATGCTGCAAAAGCAGTGAAGACCACATGTTGAGGCTTTGTTTCCCGTTTCGTAGTGTTTCGTAAATGCAGACAGAGCAACATAGACGTGGCGCAAAAAATCGATATGTTCAAAAAGCGCACGTGATGTTGTTTTTAAGGACTTCAACACGTGTGCTACGTCTAATTGTGCAGAAAAAGTAGCACACATGGCGACGCCATGGAAAAATCCTTACCACCATGCTTTTCGACGCTATTGGTGATCTGAATCATGTCAGTGTTGCTTAAGTCTGCATTTACGGCC